TGCCAAGAATGTTCTCATGGCTTCATGTGAATTGCCATTATTAGTGGCTTCCTTGGGATACTTCCTCAGCAGTAAATTGCTAAGAGTTTTCAAGTTTTAAGATTCTTGATACTTGTTGCCAAATTACTTTCCAATAAAGTCATACCCGTTTATATTTCCAGAGGCACAGTGTGTGAGAGACCTACTTCCATACAGTTTTGCCAGTGCTGAGAATTTTGAAAACAAAAAGAGTCTTTGCCAGTTGATGATGAGAAATGGTGTCTCCATGTGTTATTTTTTGGTGGGGGGAGGAGGATGGTGAAAGGGAGACATTTATTTATAAATCATACGGTTTTGAAGAATCTTTCTCCTGTAGACCAGTAGCATGCTTGAAACTTACTAGTAATTGACATTTGAGAAATAATACTAAATCAAGAAGGTGTGGAAAGGTCCTTGGGAATTTTAAGTTTTCCCTTTTTTGGCTAGGTATTTTTAGACAACTGTGAGATCACTGGTTAGCAATGCTTTTTCAATGGAAAACAGTTTTTTTTTAAATTTTTCACTAAGAATTAAAAGGTATTTAATAAACAGCCATCATTAATGGATCTAAAGTTGTACTGTTCCTTAGTTAAAGTACGTATGTGTGTGTGTATGGGTATGTATACACACATACAGATGTGTGTATGTATAAGTTCACATAGATATGTGTGTGTGTGTATTCACATCCATATGGGGAGTCTGCTGCAACATAATTATGGTAACACCATGTGATTCAGAGGCTGGGGATCCCTGTCAGTCGGACTGCGGGCTCCGGGCTGCCTGGGCTTAAATGCCAGCTCTGCTGTTTTCTTGAGGTGTGACCTTGGGCAAGTTACTTTACAGCTCCATGTCTAAGTTTATAACATTTAGATCGTACTAGTACCTATCTCATAGGGTGTTGTTGCAAGCAGCTATTTGTGAAATCATTAAAAAGTCCTATTTCAAGAGAATATTTAACGGTATGAAAAAATGGTCATGGTCAAAGTAAAAAAAAAGGCAAAGTATGACACTAACCATAGTGTAATCCTAATCCTGTAAAATTAATGTTTTCCCTTCCCCCTCTTTCTTTTCCTTTTCCTCTGGGATTCCCCCCTCCCCCCTAAAAAAGGTATACTGTATTTCTGAATGTCTATAATTAGAATGAATGGAGTAACCCCAGTTCTGGAGAAACTGACTGACAGAAGTCTGCAAGTCAGAGAGCTCTGAAGTCAAAGCTGTCTGTGACACCTGGCCAGCGGGCCCCTCGGAGCAGCCCTTGTGCAAGTGCATAACCACATCCCAACCCTCGGCTGCCTTGCTCCTGAGATACAGCGAGTACCTTGGGGCAGGCAGGCTTCCTGGCCTCTCGGAGCCGCACTGAACCTCTAATCGTCCAGCTCCACGTCTGAGCTGCCCTGCGGGCTCCTCTCATTCCCCCAGTGCTAAAGTAGCTTCCTTTCTTTAAATAAACTCACGAGAAGGTAGAATCAGAGATCTCCATCTCTTAGGAAATGTATACTTTATCCTGCAAAAGCCCAAAAGGGAAAACCCTGGGAGTGTGAGTCCCTCAAGCCTTGAGCCACATCATAAACTTGAAATGTAGAAGGAGAAAAAAATCTGAGCTTGGTCTGGCGTGAAGGAGACAAGCCCATGGTGACTTGTCTGGCCTCGGCCGGTGCTTTTCACTGGAGGCTCTGCAACTCTGTGGATGTACATTTGTTTTGGCCCAAATTTCCAGTCTAATTTGAACAGCTCTCTGCTTTTTTCAGTAAAAGAGGAACATCTGAATTCCTAATTAAGATAGTTTAGCTTAAGAATTCCTCTTTAATGGGCCATAAATTATCCTCCTCGAAATGATTACAGGGATGAGTAAGAAAGTAAAATTTGCCTGTATGCCGTTCATATGCTATTTCAACAGAATTAATAAGTTCATCAAGGGAGGAGGGGGGTCAAGAAATGTATCAGCAAATGGAGGTCAGGGAAAGAGTGCATCGGTCCTGCCAGCCTCCAGTGAGTGGAGGTAGAAAGGCGTTGGGTCGCGGTCGTGTGGATGGTGATAACTCTACCATATGGGGCACTTGGTGTTGGGATTCCTCCTCTACTCGAAGAGAGAGGAAGAAACGAGTCTCTTGCTGTGCATCACTGGCTGGTGAGGAGAAATGTAGACATGTTGATTAGCAAGGGCACCAATATGAATTTCTCTAGGGAGGGAGAAGACGGGGGAATATTTAACTGTATTTAACAGCAGTTTGGTGTTGTCTCCATAATGAAACCATTTTTGCAATCATGTGGGAAACTTCTCTGCAAGACCAGGCCAAATCACTGTTGAAAACTCAATTTACTGAGTCCCACGGGGTCTTTGGGGTACCTTCGGGCTTTGCCAGTACCGGCTGAAAGCACAGCTTTTGAACTGGAAGAAACTGTGATGATGTCTTTAAATTCTGATCTCATTTAGTCATTTACCCTCATTTATTCATTCAGCAAATAGCTCTTGGGGGCTCCTGTGTGCTAGCACACTGTTTGCTTCCAGGCACTGGAGGTGTGGAATGGAACACGACAGACATGGGGCCTGCCCGGATAGAGTTTACATTTCTAAGGGGGATACAGTCAACAGCATCTTAATCTGGTTTGGGTGATCGGCGGAGCTGTTCCACGAGTGGGCCATTCCTAAAGAAGACTCAGAGTGCATCTGAAATGAGAGACTGGAGAAACCAGTGGAGGAAGACCTGTTGATCTGGAAGGCACAGGCAGAAAGAATCAGAGAGTAGTCAGGGACTGGCAGTGAGGGTGTGATTATGGAGGGCAGGACCAGATTGGGAAGTGAAGAAGGTGCCGAGAGAAGACAAGTATAAATGCACAATTGTCAGGGCCGGGGAAAACCGTGCAGTTACTGAGCTCCCAATTTAGGTAATCGAAATAATGCATGTTATTGACAGTCTGCACTTAACACGTGAAATGGATGTGTTTTACTCTCTGACTATGTAAACATGGTAGGCAGGAGAGTGGGTGGTACTTCGGCTTTTTTTAACCATCACCCAAAAGGAAGAACTGAGGTGGTGGCTTCACCAGAACACGTTTCCCTTACTCTCACTTTGACCAACTGCATCCCTGTCCTCATCTTATCCACCATCGTTCATGTTAGAGAGTGAGACGAGTTACATAATTAATTCTCCCTTCTGTGCATAAGCACAATTAACTTCACTTCGTTAACTTTGAACAGATTTAAGTTCTAGATCAAAATCGTCTCCTCACTTGTCCCTTCTGGGCCTCTTTAGTGTTCTGCCCTTCCACTCAGCTTGTCTGTGGGATTGTGGTTCCTCTTACCTTCCTCCTTCCATTCCTGGGTGCTTTTAGTGGTCTCTTAAATGATGAAATCCACTTAGAGATTTATTTTATCTCCTTTGACCTTCAACATGAGTTTGGTAAAGGCTACATTTTTGGCTTTGGATTTACTATCATGGAGGGGGACTCTTTTTTTTCTCTGTTTTATCCCTCCCTTGTCAACTGCTTTATTCGAGGGCTCGAAGTTGTACCATATGTTTTACTCAAATCCTTTTCCTTTCTTCCATAAGCCCAGTTTATTTCATTTATCTCCTCTCCCCAACCCAACCCACCCAAGCACTCAAAACACACACACATGTACACACACACACACACACACACACACACACACACAGAGGGTATTTCGGGATTTACAGTGCACCTTTCCATGATTAAAAAAACCCTACTGATACTCATTAAATCTTTAACATAGAGATCATCTCAAAAACTACCCTAAATATGTTCTTCCCTTGGCCACTCCAGTTCCTTTAGTCTGGAGGTAGCCTCCAAACCTCATAGCCAGTTTGGGGGAAGGTATTATTTTGAGACATTTGATGTTTTTCATGGCAAAATGAAAATGGTACAGACAAAGGCTTAAGGGTACATAGTGTTTTATACGTAGGCATAGATTTCAAAACTATTTTGGAGTGTATTTAGAGGGCCTGACATACTTTACAAGACTTCTGTATAAAGCATTTTATTCTTTGACAAGTCTTACACGTTATATAATTTGCTGTGTCAATGTGCAAACATTCACAGAGTACTTTTCCCTTTCATGAAATAAGGTAGAATATTTGTCATCTGACGGGGTCAGACACATGAGAAAATGGTTGATCCCAAAGTCTACTGCTTTGTCTCCCCGTGCTGGGACGCTGGGGCAGGCACACTGCAGAAATTTCCTCCCTTCTAATACACCGAGGCTGCTCTGTGTGTTGGCAAACTGTACCGTGCGAAGTGTGAGCAGCGATGACGAGAAGTGGAAATATCAAAGTGTCAGTATTCCGTGGTGCTTCTCAAATCACTCTCT